TTATTAGTTCTTCTATTGACTTTATTTTATGTGATCTTTTTTTGTTTAGGAAATGCTTCATCATTGCAGGGCAGTATCAAGAGGTGCAAAAACCCCATTTCTAGTCGGTGATATGCCATTTGGAAGTTATGAAACTAGTGCTAAAGATGCGTTAAGAAATGCTATTAGATTTATAAAAGAAGGAAATATGGAGGTGTTTTAAATTTCTTTATGATATTTCCTCAAGTTAATTATTCAGTCCTAACTTAAACTACAAAAAGGCAATAAAATTAGAAGGTGGAACTGAAATGGAGAAAACTATTCAACAAATTACGAGCATAGGAATTCCTGTTTTAGGTCATATAGGTTTAACTCCACAGCGTAAATCTTCATTAGGTGGTTTTCGTGTTCAAGGGAAAACTGCGAACAAAGTTCGTCTTGATCTTTTCACAATTTTCACACTTCATGTTAAATATTTTTAACATATTAATAATATTATAAATGAAATGAATAGGCACTAAAACTATTAGATGATGCGAAAGCATTACAACGAGCTGGATGTTTTGCAATAGTGATGGAGGCAATTCCTGGACCAGTTGCTGCATATATTACAAAACAAATACAAATTCCTACTATTGGGATTGGTGCTGGGTCCGGCACAAGTGGACAAGTGTTAGTGCAACAGGATATGCTGGGGATTTTTGATAAATTTGTGCCAAAGTAATGAGAATAGTTATTATTTATTTTATTTATTCTTAAAAAACAAATCATTAAAAAAAAACTTCTTTTTTATTAATCAAAAAGATTTTGCAAGCAATATGCAAACTTGGATCAGATAATAGTTAAAGCTTTAGGAACTTATCGTGAAGAAGTTAAATCGAGAACATTTCCTGACGAAAAGCATTCGTATACCATTAATGATGATGAATTAAAGACATTTTTTGATATTGTGAAGAAGGAAAAAGAATGAAGAAAACATGTTTGCTTTGTTTGATAATCTCCTTTTGGAAAAATTTCGAACATAAATCTATCAATAAC